TCACCGTTGGTTTGAGCCCTAGCTCGCTGGCCCCGCAGACACCTCGGTTATCTAAAAAAAAAAACAATCTCATAAATGAAGAAACTGTGCCAATGTTTATGTTCAAGGATGATAACATCCTCCCTGTTGGCGAAGGGTTTGGTTCACACATCCTTGATGCGATCGCACGGTCTAATAATTTCCGCAAAACAAATGAAGTTCAAGATTTTATCCATGTTACCTAGTAGGAAGATATAACAAGGACCAAGACTTACACCACAATAAAAGACCAAGACAAATAATTAGTGAATAGTAAGGCAGTTTTTCTTGTTTCAGCCAAACAAGATCTATTAGTTGTCCTTAGCCTGGACCGATATAAAATGAAAGTGTGACAAAATTTCATTATGATCGGCCAACGAAAACTAGTAAACCCCATTTGTGGTCCTTTCGAATTCATTAATAACTCTTCCGGCGGCTATTGTTGAGAAGTCAATGGTTGTCCACCAATAAAACATTTTCAAGACACAAATCTTTTAATGATGGACAGTAAATTGCATTTTACCCATTAACAAAATCATTGCCTTTTTTCCATTTGATACAACATAAGCCATGTAACAAGGAATTATAATGACAACCTTTGGGCGACTTCCCAGGCTAGTCATAATGTTAAAGAACTTCAAAGCCTCTGCCACTGGTCTTTATGTGCAATGACCGTGGTGTATATGGCAACATCTAGCTCCCGGCTTCTGTCTTCCATATGCTTTAGCAATCGAATACCTACCCTAGCGTTACCAATTCTGCACAATCCCTTCACTATGTCCTCCATATGCTAAGACTAAAAACGATGGGAGTAGTTCCCTTTGAATTCATCCGATCGATCATGTCAATGGCCGTGGCGCAAAGCTTCTTCATCGTCTCCACAACTCCCAAGAGTTGTGTGTGAAACAGGGAGTTGAAGGCAAAGGGTTCATCCTAATCATTCTCTTCAAGTAGAATAAAGCCATAGCAATAGTTGGAAATCTTGGTGTGTGCTCATTACTAAAGACAGATTCGGTGATTGGCAGCCAATTTTGATTTGAAGAAGTCCCAGATATACTCTTTAGGCGTGTGATCCCTAACCTTGTTCTGATGATTCATTTTGTTATCTGGAGTTTGTTTTATTTTGAAGTTGTTTGGGAATTGTCTTGTTGTTTCTCTCTTGTACTTTTGTGGAAATGAATGAAATGTTATTTTGACAAAAAAAGCATACTATTCCACAACCATCGTCATCGTGTCGTGGGGACGAGAACTACCTTCACTATTTCTACAAACGCTAATCAGCAATAAAAATGGGCGACAAAGTGATGATTCATGTATCGTAGAGCGAAATGAGACGGTCCAAGCACTTGTTGGCGGACTAGTCATCGAAGCCGAACTCGAGAGCCAAGCTCAGTAACCGAGCTTTCTCTATTTGCAAGCCTTGCTCATGGAATTTCAACTTGTTCGAGCATTTCGGAGGATTGATGATGCACAAGTCAGAATCGAATTGATCAATAGAGCACACTCGAAGTGCTCTTGTTCGAATACCTTCCCAGCGATGGCGGGATTGATGTTTTTCTTTTTCCTTTTTATACGGCGGAGAATGGAGAGATTGGAGCCAATTTTTTTTTTAAATTTTTCTGACAATTCCATTTTCGCACTAGAAGTTTGTTTTAAGTTCTATTTTGGCCCCCTCATTAGTTTTTCTGGTTTAATTTGACCCCCCTTGGGTTTGTTTGGTGGGAGGCTTTTCTTTTAGGGAAAAGACCACCAGAAACCTTAAATTATGCCACTTATGACATATTTACCCTGAACTTTTTTTTGTGACACCAAAAAATCTCAAACTATGCTATTTGTGACACATTTACCTCAATGTACTTTAGTCCATGGGCATTTTCGTCTTTTTTGCTTTTTCTTTTTTTTTTTCCTTTCCGGCGAGGGTGGCCCTCGCCGGCATCGGGCGAGGGTGAGGGTGGCCCTCGCATGGGTGAGCGAGGGCGGCCCTCGCTCGACTCAGGCGAGGGTCGCCTCGCCAGCGTCGGGCGAGGGTTGCCTTTGTCTGAGTCGGGCGAGGGCGGCCCTCGCTGGATCTGGCGAGGGCGACCCTCGCCGGTGTCAGGAGAAGGTCGCCTCGCCCGGGCGAGCGAGGGCAACCCTTGCCCGACCCAGGCGAGGGTGGCCCTCGCCCAACTCAGGCGAGGGCGACCCTCGCCCAATGCCGGCGAGGGCCACCCTCGCCGGAAAGGAAAAAAAAAGGAAAAAAAAAAAGAAAAAGCAAAAAAGACGAAAATGCCCATGGACTAAAGTACATTGGGGTAAATGTGTTACAAATAGCATAGTTTGGGATTTTTGGTGTCACAAAAAAAAGGTTCAGGGTAAATGTGTCACAGGTGGCAAAATTTGAGATTTTTTGTGGTCTTTTCCCTTTCTTTTACTTAGTTCTTTTTTGGGGCTGAGCCATTCTTGACCGTTGCAGGAATATGTGTGAAGGCTCCTTTGCAACCACAGGACTTGCATGTCGTACTGAAGTTATAAATCTACGAGATGTATCTCAAATTTCTTTTCTGTTGTTGTGTATAAGCAAAACAAAAGTAAATTTTTTTAAATTGACATTTTTATGTTTATATATTAATATGCATTTTTTAATGAGTAGGGAAACGAATGGCGTGTCACTCAATCATTAGTCAAAGCAATAGGCAAGTGAAGAAAAAGCTCTGCAGTTGTCATGCCGCATATAGTGGCTCCACGTGCTAGGGGGTACCACACTCGAGCGTCAGGCCAACTTGCCACGTTAAAGCAAATTAAAAAATCATTAATATTTTCTCTTTTTCAATTAACATGAATTGCATATACACATGGTTCAGACTCATTAAAATATATATCGTATTAATTTTTTTTACTTTAAATTCATAACAATCTATTTTTTAAATTTTAGCTAATTCATATATGATTCAGGTCACTAAATATGAGTTAAAAAGTAGATTTTTGACCATTTTTCAATGTCTCTAGCGGTGAGAGGCTTTCATTTCAACGGGAAAGGGAAAGCACAATGATGTCCATCTTCACTTTGATTTGCACGGCCGAGTAATCCCACTACAAAGAGAACTAACAAAAGGTGAGAGTTAGTCGGTTAAAGAAGTAAATTTTCTCATCAAAGACGCGCAAGTCCACGATAGGATTGCGTGTACCCAAGCACATCTGGCTCATCTTTTGAGGCAAGAGAAGAAGTAATTTCCAATATGGACACCTTGCCAAAGTTGCCAAGTAAAGGAGATGATTGCACGCCTCTTTTGAAATAGCATGAGGAAAATAAATAATTCTTCCGACGTAAAAGTATCGATTCTCTGTTCATGGGGCGGGTAAAGCCAAAGGTCGCCCATCTTTCACTTTGATTCGAGTGGCCAAGCGGTCCAATTACAAAGAGAGTAACAAAATATCCTTTCAAGCCTAAATTGAGGTAGTCCTGCCCATTTAGAGCAAGGGATTGTTTTGGTGGGTCTTGGTAAAAAAGGCGAGGGTTAGAAAGAAGTACAATTGCCTCGTCGAAGAAAAGGCAATTCCACCACAAGATTGCGCGTCTTCAGAGAATAAGTAAAAGCTTTTATTTAAAGTCCCAAGTGCTTGTGCTTGAAGAGGAGAAACGCCAATCACCATAAATCACTCAAACCCTCGTTTTTGTACTGAAATATTTGGTTTTGACAGCTTTAGGATTTTTTTCTTCTTTTGGGGTAAGAAATACTACTTTTATTTATCATTAGAAGTTCTAGACAAAATCCAAAGAAGTTGGGGGGCTGGGCTAATCAAGAAGAAGAAAGAGGGGAAAATTATCAAAAAAGTCCTAAACCTAATATAATTGTGTCAATTCAGTCCTAAACATTTTGTATTTGTATCAATTCAGTCCATTTAGCCAATTTTGGCAGGCCGATACTAACGTGGACGTTGGCCAGCGCCCACATCAGCATCGGTCGATGCTAACGTGACGATTTTTAATTTTTATTGGAATTTTTTTATATTAATTTATTAATTTATTATCTTTTTTTTTCCTTCTTTTTTTTCCACTATGGCCGGCGAGCTATGGCCAGCGAGGATCGTCCAAGCTCGCTAGCCACAGGGCGTGGGCTGCGAATCCCTTGCTCTGCCTCCCCAAATCTGGGCGAGGCCATGGGCGCCATCACCCACAGCCGGCAAGGCTTACTTCACTGGACATTTGCTCTTGGGCACAACAATCAAAGGTAAAAAATTTAATAAAAAGTATATTAAAAAATTGCTATATCAGCGTCGCCTGGGTGGCCGGTGTTTACGTCAACGTTGGTCAGCCAAAATTGATCGGATTGACTGAATTGGTATAAATTCAAAAAGTTTAAAATTGAATTGACAAAAAAAAAATTTGGACTGAATTTGGCATAATTACACTAAGTTTAGGATTTTTTTGATAATTTTTCGGAAGAAAGAGTATTCAAATGTTGGGTTTTAGCTACCCAATCAGCAAATTGATTCGCCGTTCTTCCACCGATGGGCCACGGATATACTCTTGAAATTAGCCAACTGGGCTCGGGGCGTCCAAGACACAAAGTGCCTCCACCTCCCATGCCCCCACCTCATTACGTTCCAGCAAGAGAGAGAGTCAACCAGTACCGCGTCGTCCGACTCCCGAGTACCAAGCTTCTCTTTTACTACTTCTAGATCTGAAAGTGCATCAATAGCCATCTACCACTACCAGAGAGCGAGAGCATCGGCTTGAATCGGACGAGCAAGCAGGTGATTTCTTCGTCGCGAATCCCATCGAGCAGTACACCTGAGGCGTCGCCAAGAACACCTGCAATCGCCACTTCCGAACCACACCGGCTTTAGAGGACCCCCCATCGATATTTCACCTTGAGGGACCGGTTTCTTCGGCGGGCACCGATTCGCAGGTAAATCAACTCGAATCGTGTCAAACTTTCGAACTTTCAGCGTTCCGCTTGCTATAATTTCTGATCATAGGCTCCGCCGAGGCATATTAGGCTTCCTGGGTTTTGGGGGGGGGGTGTTCTTCGTCGGAGCACACTGAGGTCGTCTCTGGATTTCCAGATACACCGGAGAAGAGCTGCGATCTTATCGAAAGATATTGAGTTCCCTTGTCCGTCGTTGGTGATTTTCGTAGTAGCCACTTGTCCTTTCTCGTGGGTGTTCTGACCTGAGATCTGCAAAAATTTGCCTCGGTGTCTTTCCGAATCGAGTCGGTCCGGGTCCGGGTTGAGGCGCGAAGGTGTGAATCCTCGGATCGTACCGCACAACTTGAATTTGCTGCTTCGAGGCAACTTCTTACTCTCAAACACTGAAACCCATCACAGTAATTTCATCGCTGCATCTCCTCGAGGTAAGCCCGACCTTCATTCTCCTAACTGTTACAATTGATAGGAAAAAAAAACATTCGATTCTTACTCATCGCACAACACCTAGCGTCCTTTTAATGCATACAGAATACTACTTGCGAAATTCCCTCGGGACGAAAAGCCCGTCCGATTAAAATTACGAAAATACCTTTCTAGACCCGAAGTCCATCGGCCCACAGGTACCCCGATTGTCCAAAATTACTTAAAGCCCGAGACATCCGAAATACTCACTTTTTTGCATAAATAATGCTTTTTTTCCTTTTCCTTGAAAACAGTTAAAATCTAGATTTTTCCAAATATCAATGGTGCTGGTCTATTCTCTTCAATAATTGCACAAAACCTTTCAAAGGCTATGGACCAGAATTGTCAACAACAAAAATTTATCTGAACAGATCAGATGAACTAGGGAGTTTTTGGATGTCCATAAAACCATTTTCCATTATATTGGCAATTTTCGTAATTTCTGGAAAATGACAAAATTAAAATGTTTTTCGGAAATTATGAAAAATTCACAATTGTACTATTTTTTTGTGCTGGTTACAATGGAAAACTTGAAAGTGAGCAAAGCTGCTGGTTTCAATGCACTTACACATATTTAATATGTGGACAATTTTTAAGTGGACTTTATCTTTGCAGATTGAATAACAGAAACTTGTCATAAAGTGTGGTTTTCACGCAATTTAACTACTTACGACAAAGACGTGACTTTTACGTGTATATAGCGTAGAAAGTTACTGACCTACGACAGATTTGACAATACAATTTATGCATGTTTAGGGCAGGGGAGGAGAATGTAGTATGTACAGGAAGTAAGAATGTCTTTGATAATGAATGATAAAATGGAAGATTCACAAGCCGGTTAGATCCACATTTATGTGTTTAACAAAATGGTTTTTAAAGTGTGGATATGAACAAAAGTGGTCATTCCTTACTCTGGTCCACATTGTGTGGCTTGACTTTGGTTTGCCATCTGAAAACAACTTCATTGCTACCAGTCAATCAGCAATAGAGGGATACCTGTCCGTCAATTATAATTCGAGACTTATCGTCTACTACTGTCTCTCTCTCTCTCTTTTCTCACTTTATCTTTCGCATTCGGCCTCTCTTGCAGAAACCATTCGAGACTATCGTCTACTGATTAGTCCTCACTCGCTTTCTCTGTTCTTTTCCCTCTTCAAAGTTCTCGCCCAAGCTTGTTCAGGGTCTCCTCTTCCCGATCTCGCGCCTCTCTTCGCACCTCAGCTCGCGGAAGGTAATCACTTTTTCATCCCTTATTAGCGTGTCGTTTCTGTTGATTCTGTCACTTTGTTATCGGAATAATCGGCTGAGCTAAGTGTGTTCTGCGGCCCTTTTAGTCTATAGGAGATGTGGGGTGGCTGCTGAATAGCAGAAGAGGGTCTTCTATTCTCTCTTTTGGGGCCGTTGTTGCCTGTTAACGAGGTATGTCCCCAGCTCAGATTTTGACTTCGGTGAAAGAAGAAAGCCCTTTTGTTTTCGACTTTAGATGTGGCTAATCCTATGATGGCCTTGCTTTTTGATTGTTAGTTGCATTGTAATTCGGTATTTGATCTTTTGTTGAACTAGAACGAGCAGGTATGCAAGCGCGCTAGACTCTATCGCGCGCAAAATTGCCACATTTCGCTTGAATCCAGAGACCATTAGTTTTTATATGTCATGAGGTTTCTCTGTGTTTGAAGGTCCTAGATCAATTTATAGAAAAATAAAACATAAAAATAAAAGTAGGTTGCTTCCGGGGTCGACTAGTTTGGTTCTCGGTTACAAAAACGGAGAACCGATTATTACGGAATAACTTCCCGATTCTTAGGTTAGAACCTACTCATCCTAAAACTAATCATCTTAAGAGTAAGTCTTCTCTTAAGGAGATTTAATTTGACAATTTTACCTCCATATAGAACATTCCAAATGAGTAATCTTCTTAAGATCTTTTACATGATATCCAATAGCAAGTAAAAAAAACCTAGTTGATCTTATGATGCACACATGAAAACAATCAAATAAATAGAGCCACACACAGAGTAGGAGATTCACCCAGCTTTATATCACTCATTTCTTTCACCTCTTTTGTTACAAACAATAAATTCGTTCTTCAAAACATGACTAATCAATTTAACCTGACTTATCACAAATTTAGCCGATAGTTCTATTCTACTTCCATTTAATTGGATAAAAAAATCTTTACGGTGATATTCTCAAGGTGGGCCCTCCAACAAAAATGGGGACAAGCACTCAACGCCATTGTTTCAAACCTTAGTCGTCTCTGAATTTTCCTCAGCAGCTTCCTTTTTCTTCCTTTCCTATCTTCTTCTCCTCCTTACATCAAATCAATACCTAATTGCTAATCGTTCAGACTAACATGGAGAAAGGGCAAAGTCAGAGCAATGCAAACATAGAGATGCACCGTCTCATTTCAGGTCGTTCCTTTGCGGTGCTTCTTGTGTCTCTATGCTCGTATTCACTAATCTCAATAAGAAGAAAAAGAGTCCATAAAAAGAGAGAACTGGGGGAGCATCCGCTCCTCCGTTCGGTGCCATCTAACAAATTATAGCTCTATTTTACAGACAAGATAACAATCAACTCTTTAGATTTGAAAATTTGAAATGAAAGGCTCGATGGTTCAAAATAAATTCATTTCACATGGAATGGGAGCACGTGGTGCCGGCGTGGAATAGATGAAACATAAATAACCACAAGCATTTGTTTATCTTTATCTCACATTTCCAACTTCATTAAGAATATGACAATTTTAAACAAGATTAAAATACAAAAGCACATCCACAATTACTAGCTCGGACCTTTCTTGACGTCTTTCACACATTTCTAATTCCGTTTCAAATCAATTATTATCTTTTGATTGATATATCAAATTCTAATTTTCAATAACCAAATAAAAACCGAACGTATGCTTATATTTTTAATTGAATGCAATATACTGATTGTAGTTCTTTATAGCCAAAATGAAAAATTAATGTACACGTTACTCGTGAGTGGATCAAGCCAACGAGTTTGACTTGAATAGGGTGAGGTCCAAAATAAGATAAAGCGACAGCTAAAAGCATATGCAACTGCTCCTAGTCCATCAATTACCAATTAATAAAAGATTTCATGTTCATTTTTTCTTTCGTGGTACCAGATTCATGTTCATACTTTTTTGTAGAGATTAGTTCATCGATCCTTTTATGCAGCAGAAAAGCATCTTTTGTTCCAACTTTCGTCCTTAGATTGCCATGCACAAAGGGCAGAGTCGGAGAAAGAGGAAAATTGATAACACTTCATTCTCTTTTTTTACTTTTAATTTGTGTTCATGAAGGTTTCTATGTGTCCTGAATTCATAATTCAAAAGCCTTTTGGACGTTACCTCTAAATATTGCTGCTTTCTTCTAAAAGTAAGCCCATACACTTCATTCCCTTCTTTGCTATGTTTTTTTTTTTCTAAATCATCTTTTATTTTTTTGAATATTTCGCATTCTTCTTTGTTCATTGGTTCAAGAGCTGAATGTTATGCCAACAAAATTGTAATAAAAAATGACCCGAAAAAGAACTCGAGTACAGTGTCCAAGTATTTCATATATCATTAGTAACTTAATACTAGCGCGTTATGCTCATTTGGTGTCATTTAAAAAATTATAGCTCTATTTTGCAAACAATATATCAATCAATAATAATATAAATTTGAAAATTTGAAGTGAATAGCTTGGTAACATCATATCATAGATTCATCTTATATAAAATTATTGGCATGTGGGGCCAACATGAAATAGATTTTTCCGAATTTGAACCAATAAAAGAAGTGAAGCAACCGACCCCAAAACGAATAGAGAAGCAACATTCACACAAAGAGAGAAAAGAACATGAGAGAGAGAGAGAGAGAGAGAGAGAGAGGGAGCAAGAACAAAGACGGTCTAAGATTGATTGAAGTTAAGCAAGAGGGATAGTACCATGTTCCAAGCCATTGGAAGAGTGAGCAACGTATCAGCTTGTCAGGAAAGCTCAGGTTTTCTTGGAGATATAAGGCCAAGAGACCTGTACACTTTTAGCAATTCCTTTTTTTCTTTGTTCAGAAAAAAAAATTAAGTGAAAGTTTTGTCGAGCGGTCCTTAAAGACCGCGAAAATTCAAAGACTTTGGACATTCTTTTTTCATCATTGATTTTTGTGAGTGATCATGTTACTAAAGGTACAACTAACAATTCATGTAGTGTCATGTTAATTGTGTCATATGTCGAGTTAGGATATAACACGAATATGGCAAAACCCAAATAAGACGTGTTTAGTAAACGCATTGAACTGCCACAATACGAACACGACACTTAATAAAGCAGATCAGACGACAAGACACGACAAATGCAATTATTAAACGTGTCACCATATGAATGTCAACATGACACCATGCAATATGCTAACCTGTATACATGCAAAAAGATGCAACACATTGCATTACATTTAAAGAAAGAGCAAAATTGCTTCGCTTGATATTCTAATTACAAGTGAGACGCAAACTTTTGTATTAATATTAATCCTATGTAAGAGCCATAAAATTTTATCTCACAAAAAGCCTCAAATTTCGAAATACTAAAGCCATAAATTTCAGAATCTAAAATTAAGAACAAAAAAACAAGCAGACCATGAAAGAAGAGAGGGAAAGCTAAAATTCCTCGAAATATGTTTGGATACATGTTGGGTGGAAATGATGTAAATGGAACTTAATTTCATTGATAGACTCAATTATCCTTCATTCTATTCATCCTTAAAAAGGAAGTAAGGCCAATTTTGGAAGAAAAGTGCAATTTTTGCATTTCCTCTCATATGTATGCACTTTTAGAAAGATATAAAATGTGGACCCAAAAGGAAGTATTTCCGTTTCATTTAGAATCATTTTTATCGACTTCCTTCATAATTTAAACAGTTGAGCAATTGAAAATTTTTCCTCGTTTAATATTTAAGCTTTAGTTAATTTTATATATGAACTATGCCTAAAACTTGAAACCCACCAAATTAAAAACGTGATTGATGGAAATTTCCTCCAATTAGGAAAGTGCACGCATCTAGAGGATGAGGTTTATTGGGCAATAATTAATTGGCACTGGGATTAAACAGAAGGCATTGTGAAAATGAGGTTCCTACATAATTTCAATATCTTGAAATATCATAGATGTGCGTGAAGTTACATAGTCGTTCGAATGTGTTTTAAGGAAGTTTACTAATTACACTTAAATCTGTTTAAATACTTGAATGTGTTTCAACTATGTGTTTCTGAACAAGTAAATGATGTGGGCTTTTTGGGGGCCTCTTTAGGGCCGCCTTATCTTCCGCAGTGAAACGACATCAGCTTACTTAACTGAAGGCCGCATCTTCATTACCTATCTCTTTCTCAAGAACACGAACCTTCTTCAGCATTGCCTCGGAGAGAAATAAACCTACACGTTAGTCAGAGTGGACCAAGCCAGCAAAGCATTTGCAGAAAAGCATCCTAAAAGCATCTTTCGGTGTTCATCAATCCTTTTGAGCAGCAGAAAAGCATCTTTTCGTTTCAACTTTCCCCCCTCAGATCGCCATGGACAAAGAGTTGAGTCAGGGAAAGGGAAAGAGAGCAGAGGAAGAGAGCATTGAGGGAGCATCCACTTCTTTGTTCATCTCTCCGGTACTCACAGGACAAGGTGACGATCAATACGACGTATTCTTGAGCTTTAGAGGCTTAGATACTCGCAAGAAATTCACCGATCATCTCTACCATAGACTGGTCAGTGCAGGGACTGTACCTTTTTCCGTGTTCAAGGATGATAACAGCATCCCAATTGGCGAGGAATTTGGTTCACAGATTCTCGATGCCATCTCACGATCTAAGATTTCGATTCCCATCATCTCCAAAAATTATGCTACGAGCAAATGGTGCCTCCGTGAGCTCATTCATATGATAGACCGTAAGAATAGCATGTCACACATAGTGTTGCCAATTTTTTACGAAGTGAAACCATCGGATGTGCGGTATCTAAAAGGAAGTTTTGGGGAGGCGTTCCGTTTGAGCCAGGCGTGTTTTGAGGAGAAGGATATCAAGGAAGGGCGACAAGCCCTTAATGAAGTCAGTTACTTAAATGGATGGGAATCTGAGAAATTTGCCGACGGGTACTTCACTCAACCTTTCTTTTTTCGATTAGTAAGTTTTCTTCTTCGCGCAGAACCGATAAAATGTAGATGAATTACTTTCACTGCAAACTCAGAAAAGATTCCCAAATTGTCCCAGTAAACAACCATAATGCCTCGAGGACGACAAACTCTAGCACTACCCAAGATGTCCCTAAAAACTAAACCAACGGCCCCTAAAACCAAAGCATCCCATAGTGCCCAAGAATTTTACATTTCCCGCCGGTACAGAGCCAAAAAACAAAGAAACGACAATACCTCCAGCCAATGGTATCAATCACTAAACAATAGGCCTACAAAGGACTCCAATGCTCGGTCTTTCGAAGCTTGATCACCACCAGATAAAATCGACCTCCTATAACCAATAAGTGTTAGCTCAATTGATAAGGATCGAATACTTTGCATAGACTATGTCTAAGTTCATAATCTCACACTGTTTTTGTTGTTTGACAGGCATGAGGGAAAATTAATAGAACGTGTGGTCGAAACTGTTACAAGTACGTTACAGAAAGATTTTCAGCTGGATGTGAGTAAACAACTAGTTGGACTTGAGGGTCATCTTGAGGAAATTATGAATTGGATAGATAGTCCTTCCATCCATGCTCGAATGATTGGAATTTATGGCATGGGTGGGATAGGCAAGACAACTCTTGCCAAGCACATCTACAATCAACTCTCAAATAAATTTGTGCATGTCAGCTTCCTTCCAGATGTTGGAGAAATTACCAGACGCCACGGTATTATGTATTTACAGAGTCAACTTATATCGGATATACTACATAGCAAAAGTCAAGTGTCTAGAATTGATGATGGAATTAACATAATCAAATCTAGATTCAAAGGAAAAAAGGTTCTCATTCTTCTCGATGATATAGATGACAAGAATCAACTACATGCACTGGCTAGGGAACAAAATTGGTTTATGGCAGGTAGCATGATCATTGTTACAACTAGAAATGCAGGCGTTCTTGATCAATCTGAATTCGAGGGAGTCTACAAGTACGAATTGAATGAATTGGATCAGAAGCATGCTTTGCTACTGTTTAAGAGACATGCATTTCGTACAGACCATTCTTCGAGGGACTTTGAGCGTATATCTCATGATATCATATCCACCATGGGTGGGCTTCCCTTGGCACTTGAGGTCGTGGGTTCATCCTTGTATAAAAAAACGAATCAAAAAGTATGGGAAGATGTGTTGAAGAAATTAAAAAGCGAACCACATAGAGATGTCCAAAAGATATTGCGAATAAGTTATGATGCATTAGAAGATGGACATAAGCAGATTTTTCTTGATGTTGCTTGTTACTTAATTGGCAAAAATAGCATATTCGCCACGTACATGTGGGAGGACGATGGGCTTTATCCAAGTGAAGGAATTGAAGAGTTGAAGTCGAGGTGCTTAATTAAAATTGGAGATCATGGTTGGTTTGAGATGCATGATCAACTGAGAGATCTTGGAAGGAGCATTTTTCGCGAAGAACAACGGCTTGACAAACGTAGCGGACCATGGGACAACAACTACAAGGGAACCGCAAAAATACTATGCTATCGAGGGGTAAAATATGGCACTCCTTTTTCTCTCCCTCTTATTTTAATATATTTAATCTAATCTATTCTAATATTTCATTTAGCATCTTCCTTTCTAGGAAAAATATTTTTGTAAACATCCATTTATGTCCATCATAGATTAATTGTGACAACTAAATAAATATAAGTATCTGAAGGATGAAAGAGTTAAATCATTTGATTCGATTTCATTGATATAAATTACATCCGTAAAAATTTAATTTACAATCAATTTAATAACCTTTAACTCCAAAATATACACTATAAATATCATTTACTAAAAGCATGCAATTGTCATATCTAGTTGAAAATATTGATAATATGAAGGACTACAATAATGAATGAAGATGAAGTATAAACATCATAGATCATATAAATGAAGATTTCCTGGTTGAAAGAAAAAAAAAAAGATGGTATGTGCCAATTATAATAACTGATAATTAATTCAAAGCAATAAGTTTCGAAAGAATTTCACACTTATCACATATGCTTGCTTTTTAGTACGGCCGAATGTATTGGTGGTGCTTCTATGATTTACGAATCCAATGTTTGATTTTTTTTCTCCATTTTGATTTTGAAGATACCCATCCGTCTACTCTACTAGTTATATCTATCTCTTTTCATTCCTATTTCATCTTAATAAATAAGATAGCAAAAATCCCCTTAAAAATATTTTTAGGAAAATCTTACTATTTTTTGAGGTTTTATCACATTAACCATGCTCATTTCTTATAACAAACATTTCTATCTGCCATAAGTTGTTTTATATTATTTATATTTTTTGTGACAATGCCTCTTTTGTGCCAAAAACCGCTAGACTAACTTGACTATTTATAAAAAAAAATAAAACTTGACTAAAGAGAGGAAATGTCGTGCTTATTATTATATTAATATATTTGTATCCATTATATATGATTTTCAGCATGAAGCTAATTTTTTCAACTATGTTTCTCTTTTACTTATATTGTCAATGTGATTTTATTATTATATATTGTCCATCTGGATGCCTCATAGGCTCATGACTGATCAATGGCCAGGAATTAACCTTAGCAATTAACTAAGAGATGTTGGGCAAAGGAAACAATTTATAGTCTTGATATAATTTGAAATAGTTCGTTGCTATGATTTAAATCGCACTCTTTTGTTGATCCAATAACTTCTTAGCATTAGCAAAAAGAGCACACCATACAAGTATTTGAAAAATGAAAAAAAGTCAAATCCATTTTGAATAGACAGAAACATTGAAAGATGATAATTAGTATAGAAAAAAAATATTAAATGATTGTATGACACGAGAGATTTTGATTTTACTTCGAAAAATGAAATACTTATGGGACTAAATTTCAATTGTCTCAACTATTTTAAATATGATTTTATTTATTTTGTTATATCCTATGTCTTTAGTTCATTTTGATGAAATATATGCAAAAACTTTTGACAAGGTTTGAAATCCCCTTTCTGTATAGTAGATTTTTTTAATGTATTACACAATATAGATGATGTACAAGTGAAAATTAAGAAAGATAGCGTGAAATTATGATTACAACAATTTAGTGACTCTTTCTACTAACAAACTTAAGAGAAATAATACCCATCGTAGGTTTTTCAGCGGTTAATATATAAAGTAGAGATAACGAGAGATGAGTCAAACTGTAAAAGTGGATCAAACCAACCAAAAAAGCAATTCTAACCAATTGAACTTTTGGGGGAAAATAACGATATTATTATTAAAGTGAAACAAAGCCATATGAGTTTTTTTTTCACCATTTTCAACTTATCAAATTATCTGTTTTAGCAGGAACGTTAAACATTAATGTTTTGACTTATAAAAGCGACTTTTTTTTTTCGATCCCTGTCAAAGTGGACGCGCTACAAAATTTGAAAAAAAGAGAGCCAAAGATAAAACATCAAGGTGCATTTGCCTCAGTTGTTTTAAAGCAAGAACTATTTTTTTTCTTTATTTTCATGTCATTTGTTCAAATTTCTAAAGGCCGTCAAAAAAAAAAAAATTAAACGTGATTTCATGTGTCGATATTTATATACGGGAAGGATGGCAAGATAATAAATCGTGCGAATCCAAGATTTAAAAAAAAAGCAAAAAAGTAAAAAAGTAAAAAAGTAAAAAAAAAGTCAACTCAGAGACTCCATGGATTGATTTGATATGTAACTGGGAATTGAAAAGGATTCCGTCATTTTCTTTGTCCCGTCCAATTCCTTCGCCCATATCCAGACGCACTCAGATGAACAATTTTAAAACTTGCAGGGACGCTGCTGGTTCCATGACTTGATGGGGGGAGCTTCAATCGGAGACTCCAACGAACTCCTTTCTGAAGTAAGATGGCTTCAGTGGGAGTTCTGGGAAGACGATCCGCCTCTTCCGACGGCCAGTTTGCATCTACCGAACTTATCGGTGCTGGAATTATCATGGTGCAGGTTCACAGAGGATTGGGAAGGATGGAGGAGTTCATTCATGGTAAGATTGGGGGGAAAAGAAAGAGACATCCTCCCTCTCTCTCCGTGATTTAAGATGGGGTTTTGTTTTTGTTTGGCCGATCCCCCACTCATTCTTTTGACAGCTTTCTTCTCCTCTTTTTTGTGTAGACGGCAAAGCGGCTACTAGTTCTTGACCTTAGCGGTTGCGAAGGTTTAAGATGTACTCCTGATCTCTCGGCTTTCACGCAGTTGAAGATCCTCACCTTGAGATATTGTCAGAGACTGGAGCATCTCCACCCTTCTATTGGCAAACTCAAGAGCCTCGTTTCCTTGGACTTGACGGATTGTGGAAGTCTCAAGGAGCTACCAGAGGAAGTGGGCGAATTAAAAGATTTAGAAGAACTTGTATTAAATGTATCTGGTATTACAGAGATCCCTACGTCTATTGGTTCTCTAACGAAGCTGAAGAAACTGAGTGTTGAACGTTGTAGGTCACTGAGAGAAATCCCTAGCTCAATTGGGGATTTAAAGAATTTGCAACACCTGTACTTGAGTGGCTGCAAAAGTCTAAAGAAGCTACCAGAGGAAGTGGGCGAATTAAAAGATTTAGAAGAACTTGAATTAGGTAGATCTGGTATTACAGAGATCCCTACGTCTATTGGTTATCTGAGGAAGCTGAAGAAATTGAGTGCCTACTGTTGTAAGTCATTGAGAGAAATCCCTAGCTCAATTGGGGATTTACAGAATTTGCAATTTCTAAACGTCCTTTGTTCTCCGCTTGAAAAGCTTCCCAATTCTATTGGGGATCTTTCTTCTCTCCAGCGCCTTGAGCTGCGTCGCTGTGACAAGCTTCGGTCGCTGCCACGGCTTTCTAGCCTAATCCACCTAGAAGAACTCCATCTTTGGGAATGCTATCTACTTGAAGACATCCCCGAGCTTCCCTCGAGACTCTTGAAACTCTGTATTGAGGATTGTGGTAAGCTGATATTGCTTAAGCTTGACGGATTGAAGAACTTGGAAAAGTTTTCAATAAAAAGTGCGATTCAATTGAAAGATGGACCTTTCACAATCAATTGCCCGAAACGATTACACGCTGCAGATTGCGATAACCTAGTTGAAATTCAGGGCCTTGATAATTTGGAGCTCTTAGAGGGCATATCTATATATTGCTGCAATTCCATTAAAAGGCTTCTCTGTGCAGAATCACAGTGTTTGAAGGAATTATGGATATTCATGTGCAACAATCTAGTCGAAATTAGAGGTCTTGATGGTGGGAAGTCCTTAGAAAAGTTGGATTTTGGAGGATGCGAATCAATGGAGATGTTGCCAAATTTGACGGGATGTGAGAAGTTACGATCTCTAAATGTTCGAGATTGCAAGAAACTTACTCAGCTTCGGGGACTTGAAAAGTTGGATTTAATTGATTTGAATATTTCTGGTTGCGACTCATTGGAAGCGATACCGAAATTATCTGGAATTTAGAAATTATGAATTAAAGCTGTTTTGCGGCTCATGGAGTGATGTTTCCTCAACAGAGGTAAATTAGCAGTGAACAATCATTTTTCTTCTGAGATTCATGACCTACATTTCATCACTATCTTCTTTTGACAAGAAGGTTTTCCATCACAGGTTCTGATTCTGAACTATCCTAGATTGCTAGTCTTACATAATTGAAGGAGTGGGGAGTTGGTCATAGAAGCTGACATGATGCTTCAGCCAAGATCAAAATGTAGACCCAAATGTCAATAGAAGGCATAGTAAGATTCTTCATCCTTGAATGGCCAGCGTGAGCGAATAGAGTAAGGCTTTTCTCGAAGTTCTCTTTGTTTAAAATGATTTGCTCCACACCAGGTATCTATTTGATTGATTTTGGAAACTCTGAATTTGCCTATGTATAATTGCTGTTAATTACGTTATAGCAATGTTTTTCGTTTATCCTTCCATTGGCAGCTTCTGAAGACTGCAAACAGATAGCAGCTCGTGAGACAAGAATGAAAATATCAACAAAGGTAAACGAGAATTACCTAGTGATTAGCAGTTCCCCTATCGATAAACCCAGGATTTGAAATTTTCATCTAGAGGCCGATGAACTTCTGCTACTCATTATTGTTTACTATGCCCAGAATTTCCCAATCTCGAAAGTTCATATTTCTTTGAAAAGAATCCTTGGCTATTTTCAGTTCCTTTGTGAGTTCTTTTGTATGTCAAATTTGACTAATGGTAGATGTCCTGTTTGGGACAAACGCCTTTCGATTGTCCGTGATGAACGAAAACCCTGTCAAGTTTCTTATTATTCCCTTGATGTCCTGCATTAACCTTCTCAGAAGAGCATCACTTCCCAGTAAATATGATGAACTGAGCTAAAATAAAATTCAAGGTTCAAGTATTACTGGCTGGTGACAAAAAAAAATGTTAAAGTAGTTTTAGCTAGTCTGTCATATATGAATGTAGACCACCCTGACATTACCAGTAGTCAAACTGTTGTTTTGAAAGATTATGAAGCAAGGTAAACTGTTGCTGCTTCTATGACAGGTTTGGTTGGTCTATGTAATGATCTAGGCTTACTTTGGGACTTCAATTCAGTTAACTGTATCGATGACCTTTTGCATTAACCAACAATATTTTGCCCATCTGTGAAACAATCTGGGACGAGGAGCTCAAGAATTTTCTAATTAGTTTGCATCCCGTTCGACCCTATTGTTGTCATGGAATCGTTTTATCACATGCTTGATCTAAGTCTAGCTAACTTGGCTGAGGAACTTCAAATTCCATGCCAGAGACTGATCAAAATGAAGAAGATATATTTTGTAGGGGACCCATCAGCAACAGCTGAGGACCATCTTTCGTGCCAACCTTGAAGAGGCTCGTGGGCCAACTGGAGTGTCTTGAGTAAGTTTTGATGCTTGTGAGGATCCAAAACACTTTATCTGGTCTCAACAAGCACATACCTGAATGATTTTAAATGTTGTATTTTCAGTTGAGTGCTTTTTGTATGCTCATGAGGTTCAACCTCTCTATTAATCAAATATGTAGCTGCTGATTTTTTTGTACGTCACCCTGATGCAGAGGTGTTTGATGCCTTTGCATTCTAATGTTATCACTCCTGAACTCGATGAGGCTCTGCAGAAGGAGGTATGCACTACTAGTCGTACCATAACAATGAAACAATAACCTGTGTGCTTATACTATATGAGCTGTGGAATTTCACCTGAAAATCAGTATGCAAGTATGCATGCGGACAATCTCCTCCATTTCTATCAGTTTATCATTGTGATACTATCCTTTGAATGTTGTCATATAGGTTTCTGATTTTTTTAATTTGATAAGCTCAATTCTCATGTGACGTTGACTTTGTAAAGTTGAAATTCACCTCCTAGAAAACTATCCTGTATTGCTGATTTTGCTAATGGGATATTGGAAAATAACCAAGTAACAAATTCATCTTTCTGTTCTGTGTTTCAGGCACTTCACCTTTTTAGCATAATTTTATTGACCTCAATTATGTTCCTAAACATAAGCAAGGAAATTGTTGCTAATTGCTTATGTATCCCAAGCCTATTGTTTTCTTTCTCATTGGCCAGCTTATGAGGCTTATGTTCATTGCTGTCCAACTGCGATTGGGGCAAATGATGTTTGTGCATTCGTGCCTTATCTTTCATGGTGTATATTGTGATGCTCCGATCTCAGTTATCTTCATTTTATGATAGTTAGTAAATCCTATCCTTCTTGTGTAGATTCAACCTGCATTTCATAAAATTCAGAGAGCAGCCCCAAACATCACAGGACGGAGATGTGGACAGGAATGAGATAAGTCACGAGATGTTACGGAAAGGCGTTCCAAAGTTCTTTGCTAATGGTGCTTATAATGTGCTCCATGTTAATAATCTTCATAGGATTCTTGAGATAAAGGGACCTCTTCTAATGTGGTGTAGTAGTCCTCTGCAAGCTTTGGCATCATGCTATTATTTAGCGAGGGTCAAATTTCAAAACGCTTGCAGGAGGACCGCATGTGCAGGTGGTTCTGTATGTGAAGTTAAGTACAAAGTCGTTTTTGTCAACAAGATTACCGTTTAGATGTGGACTTCAAGCTGTGAGAGACTTCTTTCATGGAAAAAGCTAATGTCGTGGAATCATTAAATATATGTGAATTGCAAGCAAGATTTTCAGCGAAAAGGTTCCCAAAAGACTAGTTTCTCGTTTAGAAGAATTTTGAGCACAAAATAAAAGTCTTCGTTAGCGTACAATCATCTCTAGGAATTCGGAAAGTTCATATATTGACATTTTGCAATCACTTTAATTGTATAATCTCAAGCTTGATTCCTTTTTCTAATGAATCTATAAAGCAAAAGGAACAAAGCCATACATTTTCATACCTGAAACCAAATTTTCATAGGCATTATCTACAGTTGAACCTATTTCAACGGGTAGATTTCAAGGGGAACTTGTGCGGAACTCGGAATCGCTCATCCTTATTGTCTACTTGAATTTTGACTCAATATTTTCCGGAGATCAAGACAAGGCGAAGTAGCTTGTTAAGCCAAGTTTGAATCTTTAAGTACTAAATCATAGACAATGCAGGTCACTAAAACAAGTTTGAATCTTTGAGTACTAAATCATATACAATGCAGGTTGCGTTCACGAATCAAAACACTAATTAAACATAGCAATCGTGAAATATTTTAATTTTGAGAATATTAATTAAATATAACATGAGAAGAGTCGCAGGTAAAGTCAATGTATTGATTGTATAATTTATTACTTAATTGCTCAACCAACGCCTAGGCATTTAATCCAAAGGGCAATGGCTTTGTCTTTGGTTGCTCATACAACATTAGTTACGACCTTATCGACCGAATTGATTTGAAGTTGGAACATGAATCGACCGGATGATTGGATGAACGTGTTAAAACGATTGAACCATTTGGTTCTGTTCATGGTTTTCCCCCTTTTTCTCTTCCACTTTGGTTTCATGGTAACGATTTGCTTTGAACTTGTTTATAAAAGTTCTATCACATACGTCAAGATCCTATTAATAACGGC